AAAAAGGTGTGGGTTTAAAGCAGTATAAAATGAATAAAAACCTGACTTCCTGAGTTTGAATCCCAGTCTAACATTCATTCACCAAAACATTAAATTACTTGACCAGTCTGTATTCTTAATCTGTAAAATGGGGATAATAACAGCACCTACATCAAAGGGTTGATTATAAAAACTTATATAATTACATATTTTTCCTCCTCTTTTAAAAATATAATTCACATTCCAGAAGAATCATCATGTTATAGCATATAATTCAATGTTTTTTAGTATAGTCACAAGGTTGTGTAACCATTACCACTAATTCCAAAACATTTTCATCATCCCCCCAAAAAACTATACCCATTGGCAGTCACTTACTCCCATAACCTCCCACAACCACTCATCTATTTTCCATTTCTATGAACTTGTCTATTTTGGACAATTAATATAAAGACTATACAATATATAGTCCCTTGTGTCTTGCTTTTTCCACTCAGCATATTTTCTTATGAATTTTTTAATGTTTATTTTTGACAGAGAGAGGGAGGGAGGGGCAGAGAGAGAGGGGAAACACAGAAACTGAAGCAGGCTCCAGGCTCTGAGCTGTCAGCATGGAGCCCCATGTGGGGCTCAAACCCACAAACCACGAGATCATGACCTGAGCTCAAGTAGGATGCTTAACCGACTGAGCCACCCAGGCATCCCTCCACTCAGCATAATTTCAAGGTTCATTCATGGTGTACTTTGTTCCCCTCTTTTTTGGCTGAATACTTCTATTTCACTGAATGATACATCACATTTTGTTTATCCATTCATCAGGTGGGTGATGGGCACTTAAGTAAGTTTCTACTTTTTGGCTGTTTAAAATAATAATGCTATAAACTGTTGTGTACAAGTTTTCATGTAGACACAGTTCTACACAGCTTTCAGTTCTCTTGGGTAGATTCCTAGGATCGAATTTGCTGGGTCATGGCAACTCTATGTTTAACCTTTTGAGAAACTGCCCAATTATTTTCCAAAGCAGCTGCACCATTTTTATATTCATACCAACAACGTATGAGGGTTCCAACTGCTTCACATCCTTGCCAACACTTGTTATTGTCTATCTTCATGGTTCTAGCAATCCTAGTGGGTGTGAGAAGCATATCTCATTATGGTCTTTGATTTATATTTCCCCAGGGCCTAATGATGCTAAGCATATTTTCAAGTGCTTATTGGCCATTTGCGTATCTTCTTTGGAGAAACAGCTATGGAACTCTTTGCCTATTTTTAAATGTTTGAGAGAAAGAGCACATATGCACCGCATGTGGGGGCGGGGCAGAGAGAGAGAGAGAGAGAGAGAGAGAGGGAAAGAGAAAGAGAGAGAGAGTGTCCCAAGCAGGCTCCGTACTGTCAGCCCTACATAGGACTTGATCTCAGGAACCCTGGGATCATGACGTGACCCGAAATCAAGAGTCAGACATTTGGGGGCACCTGGGTGACTCAGTTGGTTAAGCGTCTGACTTTGGCTCAGGTCATGATCTCATAGTTCCTGAGTTCAAGGCTGCTTCAGGCTCTGTGCTGACAGCTCAGAGCTGGAGCTTGCTTCAGATTCCATGTCTCCCTCCCCCGCTTGCACTCGGTCTCTCAAAAATAAACGTTAAAAAAAAAAAAAGTCAGACACTTAACCAACTGAGCCACCCAGGCGCCCCTCTGCCTATTTTTAAACTGTTATTTTATTGCATTTTTTTATTGTTGAAATGTAAGAGTTCTTCTATATACTCTCAATAACAGTCCCTTATCAGATATAATTTCTATTTTGTCCATTGCTTTGGGTTATCTTTTCAGTTTTTTGATAGTGACCTTTGATGCACAAAAGTTTTTAATTTTGATGAAATCCAATTCACCTATTTTTTCTTTGATTGCCTGTGTTTTTGGAGTTACAGCTAAGAAACCATTACTGCCTAATCCAAAGTCATAAGGACTCATGCCTATATTTTCCTCTAAGAGTTTTAGTATTAAAAAAAAAGCTTTAGTATTAGTTTACACTTTGATCCATTTTGAGTTAATTTTTGTGTATGGTATGAGGCAGGGGGTCTAAATTCATTATTTAGAATGTGCCTCTCCAGTTGTCCCAGACCCATCTGAAGACTATTCTTTCCTCACTGAATTGTCTGGCACTTTTTTTGAAAATCAACTGGTCGTAAATATAAGGGTTTATTTCTAAAACTCTCCATTTTATTCCAACATTTTATTTATCCATCCTTATGCCAGTACCATATATGTTTTTTAATATTTATTTATTTAAGAGAGAGGGTAAATGGGTTTGAGGCAAAGGGAAAAGGAGAGTGAGAGAGAGAATCCCAAGTGGCTCCACACGCAGTGTGGAGCCCAACACGGCGCTCATTCCCACAACTGTGAGATGGTGATCTGAGCTGAAATCAAGAGTCCAATGTTTTAATTTTTTTTTTAATTTTTTTTTTTTTTTTACATTTATTTATGTTTGAGACAGAGAGAGACAGAGCATGAACGGGGGAGGGTCAGAGAGAGAGGGAGACACAGAATCTGAAACAGGCTCCAGGCTCTGAGCAGTCAGCACAGAGCCCGACGCGGGGCTCGAACTCACGGACGGCGAGATCATGACCTGAGCCGAAGTCGGCCGCTTAACCCACTGAGCCACCCAGGCGCCCCTGTTTTAATTTTTTTTTTAACATTTATTCATTTTTGAGAGACGGAGACAGAGTGCGAGTGGGGGAGGGGCAGAGAGAGTGGGAGAATCCAAAGCGGCCTCCAGGCTCTGAGCTGTCAGCACAGGGCCCGACACGGGGTTCAAACTCACAAACCGTGAGATCCTGACCTGAGCCGAAGTCGGACACTTAACCGACTGAGCCACCCAGGCGCCCCGAGAGTCCAATGTTTAACTGACTAAGCCACCCAAGCACCCCCCATATCATCTGAATTACTATAGCTTGGTAATAAGTTTTCAAATCAGGAAGAGAGAGTCCTCCAACTTTGTCCTCCTTTTTCAAAACCGTTTTGACCATTCTGGGTCTTTTTCATTTCCATATGAGTATCAGGATCAGCTTGTCAAATTGCACAAAATAGTGTACTAATTAACACTTTGATGAGGATTGTATTGAATTTATAGATCAGTTTGACTAGTACTGCTATCTTCACAATCATCTTCAATTCCATGAACACAGCTTATCTGCCCATTTATGTTTTAAAAATTCTTGCAATGATCTTTTGCAGTTTAAAAAAAAATGTTGTTGAACAGTACAATGTTGAACAGAAGTGGTGAGAGCAGACATACTTGTCTTATTCCTGATCTTAAGAGAAAACCTTTCAGTCCCTCACCATTAAACTATGCTGCTAGCTATGTCTTTTGTAGATGCCCTTAATCAAGTTGAGGAAGCTTCCTTCTATTCCTAGTTGTTGAATGATTTTTTATCATGAGAGGAGGTTGGACTGTCAAAATGCTTTTCTGCCTGTACTGAGATGATCATGTGGTTTTTTAGCCTTTGATTAACGCGATGTATTAAACTGATTTTTATTTGATGAACTAACCTTACTTTCCTGGAATAAAACCCACTACTTCATGTCCCTTTTTATATGTTGTTGGATTCAGTTTGTTAGTATTTTGTTCAGAACTACATGAAACTTTAAAACATCCAAGATAATACCATATAACCTTCTATGTTCCATTATATATTATTTAGGAACATATGCCTATGTATAAAGACACAGATGGGAATGAAATACAACAAACTGAGATAGATAATCTGGAGGACAGGGGAGATTTCAACTGGACAGGAGTACAGAGAAGTCTTTAATGGCATCTTATTTTCTTTCTTAAATATAACTATATTTGTAACATTCATGTTAAAGTCTTTTTATACATCT